AGTTTAATATCCTCTCTATTGAAGCAGTGCAAGATGAGGAAAATGCTGAATCGTTATCTTAGAATCAAAATTATCTCAAACAGCTTTCATAAAACTATGAGCAATGTTTATATATAGGATGATGCTATAGATTCTATTAATGCTCTTTTTTTTAATAAATCACAATGTGTAATTATTTATTAATTACATAAACATTACATCATTAATTATTTAATTAACCAAAAAATTACATCTTTATTAATAGAAATTTAATTCTTAACCAAAAAAATTATATATAAACTAAGCAAACGTGCATTGCACGTTGCACGTTGCTTAAACCTAGTATTTAATAATGTGTAGTTACCCTATTGTCACATAAGCTAATGCTAAACACTACCGAGAATTAATAACATTTTTATTTTCAAATTGAGCCCTTATTTGGTTCTTATTATTTGCAAAATATATTTTTATCACATTTATTTTCAACCGACATTCTTCAATGAAATAATATTACACGCAAACTTAAAATTTTTCTTTATTTTTTAATCACACAATCTCCATCAAATTACTATTCCATAATGTATTTTTAACGTAAAAATGGGGTTCAAACAGACTCTTAGTCTATATTCGACAAAACTTTTTTTGATATTAAGTTGGTGAGTCAATGAAAAGTGTGATTGAAAATAGTTAAAATTGCGAGTTCAATAAAATGAGTGATTAAAAATGAAGTTTCACTAAACTTAAAATTTGAAAAACTTTACCAACAAGAGCTTGTGATTTCGGTACAAATTCGGATTTGCATAATAATGACTTCAAAGGGTCACGCAGTTATATTGAACCATCTGAAATAGATACCAAATCAAGCTTAGGTCATTATTTCAATACATTGTCGAGGATTTAGTAAAATATATTATCAGTATAACGGTTAAAAAGTGAAATCGTTGACAAACGAATATATCAATGGCAAGTTCGCAATCGATGGTGAGAGGCAGGACAATAATAAAGTAATGGTCGGTTGCTAATACACTTAGGGATACGGATTAATCTATTTGTACAATATTAATTGATGATATTGTTAACAATGTAGTAGGGGAATAAAAAAATTTTGATTGAAAAGACAAGTGGTAAGGTGCGGGTTGATCCAATAATTTGTCCTTGAGAGACAATGGTGGGGCAAATGAGTTGTTGGCGTTTTCGGCATCCTATTAGCCCAATGGAAAAGTCAAGCAGCAAGTCGAGCTAGTACGGTTGTAGTAATTAATAATTAGGAAATAAAAGTACAAATCTGTCCCGTTTGTTGTCGGCCACTGGGCTTGAGTCCTATTAGTTGAGGTAAAAGTTTTTTTTTTTTTTTTTTCAATAAATTTTGATTAGAGTTAATAAAATATATGATTAAAAATTATAAAAGTTATCTAGAAATTAAATATCCAAATTGATGATAAAATTCATGGACGTTCTAATGGACACTGTGCGCTTATTACACAACTATCCCTTAAAAGAAGGGCAAAACAAGGAGAACAACGTGTAGGAGAAATGGTCTGATGTGGACTAATTCGTTAACATACCATCGAACCACTTTGATTAACATAATGACATCGAGTTTTTATCTCAACTCACGCTATTGAATCAGCTTTATGTGAATCATACAAAATATATGATTAAAAATAAATAAATTTTAAAAATGAGGATCCAAAACATTGGATTTGACATTTTGTAAGATTGCTAATATATGTGTAACGGTCCACAAGTTGAATTGTAATCGAAAACGTTAAGGATCCGTTTGATAGCAAGAATGAAATTTGGGTGGAAATAAAAAGAATTTCAAGGGAATTGTCTAGAACTTGTTTTACTGGAATTGTCAATTAATTGTGTTCGATTGGTATAATTTTCTACCTAGAAAATATTGAAATTTTCTATTTTTTGGTGTTTGTTTGGTTTCGTTTTTCATGGGAATTGTTTTTTTTGTCGCACAAATTCTAATGCATCACTTTTGATCCGAAATTGATGAAAAATTCAACGTGTGCCATGGAAAGCTGATGTGGCACATTTATACAATTAGTTTGTCCACTTGGAATAAAGATAAAATAAAATAACCCAAAAATAAAAAAAAATCATCATCCCATGTTCATTTTCGGCACCATGACTGAATTAATTTCCAATTCAATTTCAAGTGAACCACATGCATTAATAATTCTGAAGATCACGATACTTACACATCCGCCGCCTAGTTTCTTGGCTTTCGTCTTCAATGGTTTCTTGGCAAAAAAATTTCTGCAATTCAATGATTTCTTTTTTTCTTTTTTAAAAATTATTTCGAGCTAAATTGACAAATACACATATATGTATGTTGTCTGCCATAATGAATAGGAGGTAATGGTGGTGGTGTACGACCGCGATTCTCAACGTCGTCACCAGAATTTGGGATGCGCGATTCGATGCATTCGAACTGGTAAGAGATGCGATCTGTTATAAATCGTTTCTTGATGATATGAGACCATGAAACTGTTCACCTTGATGAGTATTAGGGGCCTGTAATGGAGTATGGTCATGGGTGTTGGAGGGTTGGCCAGAATTGGTGTTGAAACCGTGCGTGAAGGCATCATTTTGGGCTTGAATTTTCTAAGATTTTGGATCTGTTATGTCCGATTTTGGTATGGAATTGAAGAGTGCGATGAGGATATGTTGATGGTGTGGAAATTCGGTGGTTTGCCTGGAAGTATAGTGGTTGAATTTTGGAGTAAAAGGTGTGGGCTTCATGAGGTAGAGCGGCTCTGTTTCTTGATAGTGTGGAACCGCCTTGTTTCAATTGTCAATTTGCTAAGAAAATAAAAAAAAATCAGCTCAGAGTTGGCAATTTGAATTCCTTATTTTTGTGGAATTGGGGGTCACGTGGCTGAAATTTTTTTTCCTATTAATAGATTAAAAAGTGAACAATTGTTAAAATAATTTTTATCTTCCATGGAAAAACTTCCCTATCAAAAAGGGCTTAAGTAATTTTTTTGCGGGCACTATTCATGATAAGAAAAGTAATGTCAGTCCCATGAATTATTTGTGGGGTCTCAGAAATGGAACTGGATAAGAACTACCTTATTCAGCTTACGTGGAAATTTAGGTTATCCATACATATGCCTACGTGGAAATATAGGTTAATCTTTTCAATTTTTCTAGTTGGAATTACTGCGACAGCAAAGTCGTGCTTTTTGTTTTTGTATTTTCAACGTCCATTTATTAAGACTTTAGGAAATTTAAAAGTTGCATGTGACATTACGAAATCTACTTCTGGATATATTTGAATTCTTAAACTGTTATGTTTGAACATAAAAGTTTTTAAATGTCTAATGTAAGATAGCTCGACAAAAATTCTATGAAATGAATTCACATTAACGCAACGGATTGACAATCTAATGGTCGAATTTAATATCATATTATTTGATTCTTCGTACTAAAGGATACCATAAACCACTTGAGACTGATTCAAACTGAATAGCTAAAATGCATACACGAAGCCGGAAGTGAACTAAAATTATCCTATTGTAATTTTAATACGGAGCTGAGCTAATTAATTTAAAAAAAAAAAAAACATTTCATCTTCGGCTACGCATTCGAGCACCCCAAGACATTCTTCCTCCTGAATCCATTTTTCTCTGCTTCAAATCATTCAATTGAGATTGCCACCTCATTTTCCACTCTCCATTTCTCTGTTTCAGAAAAAAAATAATAATAAATAAACAAGAAATCCAGTATATTTCTTTCACAAGATTCAAAACTTCTGAATTAATAAGAAAAATTAGTTACCTGGTAATATTCGTTTCCTCTTCCAGCAGAGAAATTTAAGCCCAATCCATTAGCTAAATCTTGATCATACAAAGCTCTGGTGTGTGGATCAGAAAGGGTTTCATAAGCCTCCTTAACCAGTATAAATCTCCTGGTGTTTTCATCAACACGGTCTGGTGGAGACACATCAGGATGATATTTTCTTGCCATTTGTTTATAAGCTTTCTTTATCTCAGAAATTGTTCCACTCTCTTCAATTCCCAACACATCGTAAAAACTGTTTGGAGCATAAAATGCCTTAGAAATGGCCCTGCACCCTTTGCTTCTGTGTAGCTGCCCAGATGGAGTTTTGAACTGAATCCTGGAATTTGTCAACTGGGAACTGAAGGAAATGCTTGAAAAACTTCCAGGGGTGCAATTTTTGGGGTTTGAGCAGATATTAAAGCGAACTACTGCACAACTCATTCTTTTTTGCTTTTGCTTTTTGGAGTTTTTTTTGGTTTGCCTTCTTCTCTAATACCTTATCTTTGAGTGGGTATTGCCGTTCGCGTGTATATATATAGGAAAAAATAATAAAACGGAATGGACATGGTACAGTTCTGGATGAGTTTGAAGACGCAAGGGTTAATTTCATTCTCGGTCACGGACTTTTAGTGAAATCTCAATTAGGTCATATCAATTTAATTTAGCTCAATTAAACCACTGAACATCAGGTCGTCATGTTTTTTTGAGCTTGAGAATAGGGGTGTAAGCGATCCGATTTTACCGGTTTTTGACAAATTTTCAAACCAAACCGTTTCAACCGATTTGAGAAAAACTCAAATATAAACCAAACCGTTTTGACCGGTTTGAAAAAAACTCAAATCTAAACCTAACGGTTTGATCAGGTTTTAAACCGCCGGTTTCGCGTATATTTTTTTGCCTGTTTAGTGTTTACTTTTCTACCATTAATTCAATATATATTTATATCTTACTGACAATAAATCAAAAATAAAATAAATATATCTACTACAAATTTAAATACCAACAAAATCAAAATAAAATCACAAAAAACTAAAATCACAGTCATATAATTCTAGAGACAATTTAGACGATTTTCATGTTCAAGAATCAAGAACACGCAACTATGTAACTAAAATCACAGAACTTCGAAAATAGAAATAATCCATAAGTCACAAAAAATCACGAATTTAGGGATTTTCAAGAATCGAGATGACAAACTATATTTAGTAATAAGTTAGACGGTTTTCATATTCAAGAATCAAGGACACACAACTATGTAACTAAAATAAAAAAATAAAAAAAAAAAATACAAAACTAACCCACAGGTCACAAAAAATCACGCAGTCTTTCTACAAAACTGAAGGCTATCAGTTGTGACTGACCGTAGACTACCGACGATCGTCCCTGACATCTGAAAATTATGACCGTAGACTACCGACGATTTGAGGAAAATTCAGGAACGAGAGAGAGAAATGGAAGGTTAGGGATTAGGGTTGTATTTGTGAGAGTTTGAGTTCGTTTTTTTTTTTTAAATTAGGATAGCCTGTCGGGTTGGGATTTGGGCGGGTCGTAAATCGTAATAACTAATAGGAAATTAGAAATTGACAAAAATACCAACAAAATGACAAAATTATTGAATTTACAAAATTGGAATTTTGGATAAATTTTCAAAAAAATTCAATTTTTTATTTTTTATTTTTTTCGCTGGTCCGGTTTGATTTTAAATCGTAATTAAAATTCTCAATCCTAAACCGAACCGTTTTTGATCGATTTGGTTTGGATCAAAACCATTTCGTTGACGGGTCAACGTGGCACCAAACCATCGATTTCGAAATTACGGTTTCGATTTGACAATTTTTGTTTACAACCCTACTTGAGGATGAATAGAACTTTTGAGTATGTTTTGCAGACTAATTATTACCATTGTATATTAATATAATAACATAAAACATGTCACGTGCTATCAATTTTTAAACGTAACTTTGGGTTATAAAAAGAGTAATTAGTATGTATCGTGCCGATCTTTCACTGTTATTGTCGAAAATGTCTTCACCTTTAATTTTTTGGCATTTTCACATTTCATTGCGTAAAATAACTTTTTCATCTATTTTCTCAATTAAAATTGTGAAATGACGAATATACCATTTTCTTTAAATAAAACAAAATAAAAACGAAAAAAACTAATTGCAATCATAGTCTCAATTTTTTCAAAAAGTGTAAATAAGTTCCAAATAAATTATTAAAATGGTAATTAGCACATAATGTCTCTACCTTTCATTATTATAGCGAAAAACGTCTATATCTTTCATTTTTTGATATTTTCACTCTTAATTATACATTTGATTGTCCAAACCATCATTTCTATTCATTTTCATCCAATTTCTCAATAAAAAGATTGATAATGAATATACCCTCCTATTTAAAAAATAAATAAAATTATAGAAAATTATTTTTTAAATAATTTATTTGGGTCTCGTTTGCATTTTTTAATTTTTTTTTTGAAATTTTATTAATTTTTTAATAAATTTAATTAGGACACGTTTGCACTTTTTTTTTTAAATCTAATTTCTTAATAATTTATTTGTGACTTGTTTGCACTTTTTTAAAAATTTTGGGAATATAATTGCAATTAATTCTTTTAGCTTTTTTATTTAAATAGAATGGTATATTCATCATTTCACAGCTCTTTATTGAAAAATTGGATGAAAATGAATAAAAAGAATGTTTACGCAATCAAATGTATAATTAATGGTAATATATATATATATATATATAAAGTATGCACATTTTTCGCAATAATAGTGAAAAGTACGGATATTATGTGCTAATTACCCTTTGAATAATTTATTTGAGACTCATTTGCTCTTTTTTAAAAAATCGGGACTATGATTACAATTAATTTTTTTCTTCTTATTTTTGTTTTATTTAAAAAGAATGTTATATTCATCATTTTACAATTTTTAATTGAGAAAATTTATGAAAATGACCCTTTGTGTAATGAAAGTTGAAAATAAGAGTGAAAATGCAAAAAAAAAAATGAAAGATAAGAACGTCGTCCACAACAATTGTAAAAATTTAGAACGTTATGTGCTAATTATCCTTAAGTATAGTAATGGGGCCTCTAAAAGCGATTAACAATGAAATTAAATTGAAGTATAGTGATGTGATTGAACAAGTTAAGATTTTATTGAAAGTTTAGTGATTGAAAACCAAATTAACAAAAACTATTGAAAAAGTTTCCTGTTTTTAGTGGTTGTATTATAAATGTTGAAAAGTTGGAAAAAGTAAATTCTCATAAAATAAGTGATTATTGACTTTGACATCAACTCATTTTTTCAAACTATGCTTTCCTTTCTCAAGAATTGGGTCCCACTACCAACAGAGATATCTTTGTTTTTGCTATTAGCCTATTACCCACAGACAGTTGTTCTCTACCCAATTGTTTTAAATTTAAATAAAAGTTTATTCTTTATTTAATGGTTAAGTTTTTAATTAATATGTATCAATCTCCCAGATTCAATGTTCTAGAAATCATATCATAGGTACATTAAGATTAAAAATTAAGGAGATTTCTTCAAGGAGAGTTGTTTCATGGCCTGCAAAAAAATTTCCCTCGAGAGTTTTTAATACTAAAAGGTCGACTTCATCTTAATTAAAAATGGCTCCTCGTCCTCCTTTTGCTTGAAACTCCAGAAATTATTAAGAAAATACTGAATAATAATTATACGAAATCAAAACAAGTAGACGTTGAATGCTTCAAATGTATTCAAGTGGATAAGAGGATAAATGAAGTGGATAAGGAGGGGGGTGAGGTGAGGTGGAAGAAGATGTGTGGATGTAAAATCGCAGTAAGAAAATAGTTGACATAATTTTAAAGAAAAAAAAAGTTTATTTCATTTCGTCAATACTTATGAATTGAGAATTTGCTTTCTCTAACGTACACATATTGATCAATCAATGAATGAAATTGACTTGGGTTTTTTATTTTATTTTCAACCATTTGTTTAAACTTGCAATGGTCTATCCATTTTTTTCCCCATGTTATAAAAAGGGGTACAAGGACGCGTTTGGAAAAGATAAAAGACTATGATCAAATAGTTGAGTCAGAACAAAATTCCATTTAGTATTTAAAATATATTAAAAATGTAAAAATAAAACAAAATTTCAAGGCGAATCGATCCGTTCTTGACTTGACTTCAAAGGTTCATTTTTAAAGCTTTTGCATATAATCATACTGATTTTTCGACTAATTTTCAATTATTTCAGTTGGTATGATTTTCAATTTTTTATTTTATTTTATTTTCAATTGAACACTATGGCTCTTGGTCATTTTTAGATAGTCTCCCCCTTTCTACACGAAGCTCACGGTGTTTTGTCAAATGGACTAAAATATAAGATATGATTGGAATGGAATTTGACTGTTTAAAATATATTAAAATACTTTAAATTGTAAATTCTTCTAGACGTGTCTCAATACTAGATTGTCCAGTTTTTCCTCCATTTTATTTTTAGTTAACATTTTGAGGAAAAATAATAAAATTTGCCTAAATCAGTTACCCCAACCGTCTTAACAATCTTACTTGTGACACAGCCCAATCTACCATTATACATCGAATCTTGATTAAACTTTAAAATTAATACGGACTATCTTTGCTACTTATCAATCATACATCGCGCTCTAAAAATTATCCACAACCCGTTCTTTGGCTGTACCACAAAAAGTCACACGAATATTCATCAACGGGACCCCAAGCTTTCTCCTATGAAAGTCAACAATATGAAGTCCTTTCTCCATTTAAAAACTTTGAATTGGAATAGATATAGATACATTTCTTGTAAATTCTTCTAGATGACTAGACGTGGATGCCGTATGATTGATTTGCATATGTTAAGAATGATGTACATGTTGACAACGATGTTAATAAATTTTAAGCAAATTAATTTTTAAATTCAATTTTTGTTTTAATAAATATTTTGTTAAGATTGCATAGGCTAATGAATGAAATTTATTTGTTTTAGCCAGACGGAATTATATTTGTACTAATTATATAATAATAATAATTAGATATTAAGGTACAAGATATTTAATTTCTTTTCATTTTAGGATAAAGAATTGGAACAAATGGTCCCAAACCTTTACTCATCTTGAATTTTTTGTCCAAACTGTTTTGTTATTAGTTGAGATAACAACTTGTGGTCCATTTAATCGTTGATTAATTTGCTAACATATTCCTTTCATTTCACCCCTAGTTTTTCTTCATACAAAAATACACTCAAGTGAGTCGGATGTCTCAAGGTGGAGCCACGGGGATTAGGTGGTTTTGCTTGATTGAACAAAGTTTGGATAACCATATCGAATGAAAATGTAATAACTACTTTAAAATTATGTTAATAATATTATCTACTATAATAAATTCAACACGTTAATAATATTGTTTAATTGTTAATATGTTAATAAGAAA